TTTACTCTCGCGGGCCTCCTCGTACGGCCCGAGACGCCCACCTCGGCCCACTCGGACTTCGAGCCCGCTGGGCCGAACCATTTCGAGCCCGGCGCCGGATGAATAAAATGAAAATCCCTCACGCTCTCCGCGCCTCATTGAAATTCAGTTATGTCTGTTACGCTACGCACCTCATGCATGAGCTTCATAAGCCTCACTCGAAGCCATGGCTGGGACACTCAAAGAAGCTTCGCAGCAATGGCGACTCTTTCTCTCTCCCTGGTACACCCCCAGGCCCTCCCCCTATGGCGACAAGGGCTGCGGCAGCGACGGTTGCATGGCTCGTTCAGCTGCCAGTCCAGACACGCACACGCTGCCGGGAGAGTGCAGGCGAGCTACAGGGGTCTTGAGCCGCTGTACGATGATGGGTACGGGACGGTCAATGACATGGGCCACTATTATAAGGCGATCGGGGAGCTGGTGGAGCACGACGGCCGGCCGCCCCGCTGGCTTTGCCCCGTCGACGCCGGCGAACCGGCGGTCGAGGATGCCCCAGTCATGCTGTATCTGCCAGGTTAACGTGTTTTCATGTGTGGAAATGTTGTGCCTTCGACAGCAATGCATGTCTTTATACCTGAATTTCCTGTTAGGGGTTATGATTTGGGGTTACATACATATTAATCTTTGCAGGGATAGATGGAATGGGGATGGGGCTCTGCATGCACCACAAGGATCTTGGAACGTGAGATACCAAGATCAGTTTACTTGGAAAAGTTTATGGCAAACTCCGAGTCTGATTGTGATACTACTTCGAATACAGTGTGAAGTTTTTGTAAATTAAAAGGAGGATACATTATGCATTTGCTCCTTCATTTGCAGGATATTTGAACTTAGATGCATGCACATTCCTCTTCGCGACCGCACGCCGTTCGAAGGTATGGGATAGGATATCAGTGTATTTAATTTGTTAGTTTCTCTCCGTGCATTTTCCATCTCAAGTGAAATTCTGAGCTTGTTTTAAGATTCAGAGTGAAAGACATCCTTTTTGTTGGAAATGGAGTATTTCATTTCTCTCAACGTATGCATCATGAAGATGCACACAGCACACAAAGTCATATTTTAGAGACATGCCCTCAGGTTGACATGTGGCAAAAACAAAAGATCCCCAAAACGCGTTAAGCAGAGCCAACGCCGCATGTCTGGTTATTAAGTTCTAACTAAAGATTAACTGCATGGTTTTAGCTCCTTTTATTTTTCAGAACTTGTCACAATGGTAGAAGATGTTGTGAGAGCAGAGCATTCTGCTTCTCCTACTAAGCCCATCTACATATTGGGGAATTCATTTGGAGGATGCATAGCTCTTGCAGTCGCCGCTCGTAATCCTGGCACTGATTTGGTACTGGTACTAGTTAGTCCAGGTATGCAAGAAATTCTGATGGTGTGCCAGTGAACCTGCCTATTTATGAAAAATTTCTGATATACATTTTTTTGTTTCGTCTCCCTTTTCTTCTGGGGAAGCTACATCATTTGAGAGATCACGCATAAAAACACTTCTGTCGGTTTTCAGCCCGTTGTCGGACCGCGTCTGTATTGCAGCTGCAGCTCTACTGAATTACAACATCCGTAAGTACCTTGTCGGGTCCAACATAGAAAATTTGAAAAAGGAACAAATGTAGGAATAGGCTAGAAATTAAGCAAAAACATTGATGCATTTATTGGACTGAAACTTGCCGGATATATACCGTTATGTCATAAGCTTACATTTGTTCTCTAAGTTTTTTGCACTTGCTTCTTCTATTCTTCCTGTTCATTGAGACCAGACAATGAGGTGAACATGGCACTGAGTATAATGAAAAGTGGGAGGCATCCTTTAGAAGCACTCAGCAGATTGACAAGTAACATGTCATCTTCCCTGAAGCATTCGGTGTGTACCATCGACTTCTCTGCATCTTGTTTCTATGTATCTAATTTTATCAAGACAATACAAATTAAGGATTAAAGTATGTCAGTAAATAGTTGGGTGCATCAATTGACGTAGAGGCCAAAGGTTATCCTACCTTTCGGGAAAAAAAATTCAAATTAAGGGAGAAAATGGTCTGGAAATAAATTCAGTTTCTGCTATCTTTTTTTCTCGTGTTTCTTTTGGTCTGTAAGATTAAGGTGTGCACAAAATATGTGCCTTCAAATTTATTCAGTTTTGAAGCAATATATGTGCGCCTTTAATTGCAGAAAATGCTGGACAAACTACCAAAGGACACACTAAAATGGAAGATTAAACTGATCAAACAGGCTGCATCATACGCTAATAGCCATATAGAATCAGTTACAGCCGAGGTGCTACTGCTAGCCAGGTTTGTGACCTTATTAGGCGCACTCCGTTCTCTACTTTCAGTCTCATCGTTAGCTGCAGATTTATGTCGCGTGATAAATTCTACTAGTGCATGATTTAGCACCGTTTCTGGTTTGAATGCGTATTTTTTGTCGGATTTCGAACGATTGGATTATCAAGACTCAATTTCTTTTGTATGCTTGCACTCAGCTGCGCCGACAGGTTACTTCCGAGCAAATCTGAAGCTAACAGGCTACAGAAGAAGTTACCCAAATGCAGAGTCTTCTTCTTTGAGAAGCATGGCCATAGCTTGCTGCTGGTGAGTTTTTTTAAGCAGACTTTATCACCCCTTCTGAATCTGCAGTTGCTCTGGACATACGACGATATCAGGAGCGTGCCCTTCGGCGGGAAGCTGCTGCGGGCCTACAGCAACCATCTGAAGCTAAGGTCCATAACTACTACTCCCTCCGTTTCATTAATATAAACACATTTTTGACACTAATACTGTTCTTATATTATGGGACGAAGGAAGGAAGTAGCTAGGAACATACATTCGTTCTCTCCATGGACTGAGGCTAAGGTTGGTTTCTGCTGCAGGGACACTCAGGAGGTGATCTTCCCCGGCGCAGTTCCGAAGATTCCCGG